AGCTTAACTTCTGTCTCGCTAGCTTGCCCTGCGCTCAGTGAATCTGCAGTCGACTACTCCGCCTAGGCTGCACTGTGGAGCGCAGATCCACTGAGCGCTCAACACAGACAGCATTGTCAGAAGGAAAGTTGATAAAATAAATTAAAAATTTTGTATTGTTCGATACATATGCGTACCGAACCGAAAGCACTGTATCGAACGGTTCAATATCGATTGGAGTATTGTTGCACCCCTAGTAGTAACAAGTAGTAACTACATGCTGGCTGGAACTGAAATAGGACAAAAAGGCAGGTGTTTCAAATGATGGCTGTCATTTGAAACACTGACATGGAATGTGGTTTTTTTTCCCCTCAGTTTTCTTACTGGACAAGAAAAAAGAAGTGAAAAACAGCAGATGACTTTTTAATTAGCACACTTCCTTCCTTTTTTCCCCCCCTCTAGAGTCGAGTCAGTCAGGAGACTACCGGTGCAGCGTGTGTCAACAGCATCTGCCCTCCAAGTTCAAGCTCCACGATCACATGAACCTCCACACAGGAGCACGCCCATACTGCTGTGCAGAGTGTGGGAAGCGCTTCTGCCAGATATACAACTATCGCGTCCACCTGCGCACGCACGCGCAGACCAAAGTGGATCGTCTCCAGTGCCGGGTCTGTTTGATGGGCTTTGCGTCGCAGGAAGATCTGAACGACCACCTGGCAAAAACTCACTTGGAGGACGAGTTCTATGAGTGTGACCTGTGCAAACGCGTGTTCACGTCCCTAAAGGCATGTGAATATCACGTGCAGCTACATAAGTGTATGCTGAATGTCATGTGCGAAGTGTGTGGCCGCAACTTCTCATCGCCGAAATCCCTGGCGCGCCATCGGAGGAAGAAGTGCCACCGTAATTTTAAATGCACAGACTGCACAAAGGTGTTTACCAAGAAGAATGCACTGCTAAAACACAGTTTCTCCCACCTGGGTTTGTTGCCTTACACGTGTATACGGTGTCGCTGCCACTTCCGATTGGCTAAGCTGTACCGCCAGCACAAATGTGAACCTGAACGCATTCACTGCGTGGCGTGTCTGAGGGAGTTTCTTAGTCAGGAGGACTTCCAGCAGCACAAAAAGGACACGGGCTGCTGGGGCAATCAGGAGCCCAGTGAGAAAACAAACGAGATCAGATGTTTGGAGTGCGGACAGAGGTTTGACTCGTCAGAAGAGCTGAAGAAACACGCTGGAGCTCATCAGAGGGTGCTGAAGTGCGCTGAATGCGGGAAGGGGTTCCGGTCGGCCTTGCTGTTGATGTCCCACATGGGCGGCCATGCCGGGCAGTCACCCTGTCTTTGTCAGAGCTGTGGACTAGGCTTTCCCCACCAGCAGAACTATGACAGCCACCTTAAGACGTGTGGACAAACACCTCAGTCTGCGGTGAGTGTGTGAAAGTTTTTACACTGCTGCTGCCTCTTCTGTTAAAGCACACTAAGAAGATTTTCTATCTTCCAGATTTCAGTTTGGCACAGAAATACTTTAATGAAACAACTTTATTTCAAAATCAAGTTGCACAGATTAACTGAGCTAGTCAGGCCAGAAGAGCGCGTAGAGCCTCCTACAGCTGCTGCTCGTTGCCATGGAGCTATGTGGATGAGAGCAGCCATTTTTCTTTGGCAGTGGATTTTAAGGGTTGTGGAAAACTATTTCCTCCAATTCGCAATTACTGTTTATATCTGTATTCTCAAGCATGAGAAACCTGCTTAATCGACTAACCCACAAGTAGCCACATGTGTGTGTGTAGGTGTGGCTGTATTTCTTAGCCAGCTGTTTTTGTGTCAGCACAATGATTCTAAACCAGGATCAATTATTGACATATCTGAGTAAATAGGAGTGCACATTGGTCTTATCTTACTTTTGATCTTACTCATTGCAGGATGTTTTTGTGCAACATGAGCAACCTTTATAGCAACCCATCGTTTGTTTTTGTTTTTTTGTTTTTTTGCTTTGATGTAGCTACAGATATGCTCAGAAACCTGTTTCCAAGAACTCTTTTCATATCATAAAGTCACATTGAAATGCTTTTGCTATTTTTCCCCTTCTAGAGCGCCACCAAGAAACGTGTGTCTTTAAAGAGCTCTGCGCTGGAGAGAAAAAAGCACAGCACTACACCAGACTCATCAAACACAGCAAACGCAGTCACTTTGCCCGCTGTTGTTTTAAACAACCCTGCTCCACCAGTCGAGGATACTAGCAATCCAGGTCACGTGACTGAGGGTGTGTCTACTGGCACTGGTCCATCAGACGGGTTGTGGAAGCTAACTCTTGACAAACAGCCGCCTGCTGGTGTCAATCTTGTCTTGTTCGTTCCTGTTTGTCCAACGCAAGGCAACGGGCTCCCGCTCCCATCTGCAATCCCTCAGACACTACCCATCACAGCTATGCAAGCTCTGCCTGAGGGTCCGCTCGCAGTCGGTGCTGCTCTTGGAGCGACACTAAATGCCCCACTGGATCTGTTAACTGGGGTTAAACAGGATCCAGAAGCACCCTTGGATCTGTCTAAGAAGTCTGCAGTGACGTACCTTCCTGTTAAAGGTGAACCAGAAGAATTTGAAATCTCAGGACAGGCTGTAAATGCTGGAAGGCAAGAATTCGGAAACCATCACAGCAAAGTGACAGCTAGAACAACCTCAATAAAGACAGCTCCCACAGGACTCATAGTGGATATAAAGAAAGAGCCTCAGACCTCTGGTTGTGATTTGTGGTCGTCCGAATCAAGCCAACTGACAGACTACAAGCTAGAGAAAGAGATTAAGATTGAAGTTAACATTTCAAGTGCTGGTAAGGAAAAATAAAGTACAGCAAGGTCAGAAAAGGAGAGAAAGATCACATTCCCTACCCTGTAAAGGAAGCATTTAATATACTGTTAGAATTACATATATTACTGTGTAATTTGTATATTGACCATCATACGGTTTTATGACAAGGCAGCATTTTCCTATAACTATTCCCACTTTTGTCACCAGGATAGACTATTAGTGTGACTGTGGTTTTTGTTTCAGAAGCTCTATTCAGAAAAACATAATATTGCTGGCTTCATCGGTTTATCGAAGGGGATTTTTTTTTATGCCTTTACTTCATTACTGTTACAATGGTGGATGCTCATATTAAACATAGCCAAAGTATGATGTCAGTGAGGGTGTACTCACACTAGACACGGTTGCCTGTGCATGATTGTTCCTGCTCCCCTGCACTCATCTATCTAGACACAAGTATGCATTACTTTGTCTGAGCATCTCAGCTCCTCCCTCACTCGCACACACCCTGAAAGGCACTCTTGTAAGCTCACGATTTTTTTTACACGTTGTAGCTTAATTGGAAAAGTCGTGTCTCCTAAATGAGTTTCGCCAGAGCCGCTATCACTGAGAAAGCTGAAGTTAGTCAGCAGCAATTGCACTACATCAACGTCACAACAGAACCACTTTTGTAACATGTTCCTGGTACAGCACCCAGCAATCACAAAAGACAAATGAGCTCGACTCTGAGGGTTCAACTGCACTCCTGCATGATACAGATCGTCTCGTGTGAGTACACCCTGACCAGGGATATCCTTGGTTGGTCATCTCAGGCATACAGCTATAGCTATAAGCACACAAGCTCCTCCCACCTGCTGTATAAAACTGTTTGGGGGGTTGGGGTTGCCATTCAGAAGAAATGGAGCTCCATCATTGACAGTATATGAATATGTCTAGCTTATTTTGAGCTTTGAGCTCATAGGTCACTTTATCATGAATTGGCCTCTACATTCAGAAATATACAATGAGAGAATCTCGATACGTCTGTAGCAGACTGGAGACGGAGGAATGCGTCTTTACCCGTTCAGACTCGATGATGGTTGTCTAGTAAGACGATCATCATCGCTTCCACAGAACAGTGACCAGGGTGCTGGTTCAGACCTGAAGCTGACCTGTTCACATGCTGTTCATATTAACAGACAAGGATCCATGTCTGAAAGGGGTCAAAGTGTGACAGTTTTCTTGCATCTGTAATTTAAACAAGACATTCCAAGCTTTTATTTATCGAGGCACTTTTTTTCTTCTTTCCTTTTGCATTCAGATGTAAGGTTGTAAATTCAGCCTGCTGGAGGAAGAATGAATGGAGATGAATCCTATGCAGTGTGATGCAGAATTTCTATTAGCATTAAAATTTCTGTCATGTTCTTCCTATCGTCTTGGAAAACTGGTTCTTTTTGTAAACTAGAGTGAAACAGGGGTTTTTTTTCTTCTGAAAGCTTGTTTTGTATAGTAAATAGCATTTTAGTGCTATGTTAAATATTTCATTATGAACGGTACTGATTAGTAGAATGAATAGATGTCTTCTTGTGATTAACATTTTATGACTCTAAACAGTCTGCAGGTATATTTTGTTTTTCTAAAGGTTAATAAATGCTTGTTTGGATGCAAGGTGAGTCGCACTGAAACTGTTTTTTTAAATTTGCCTATCTACAGTATTGCCTTCTGTTGCAAAAAGTTGGCCTTAAATTCTAAAAACTACCAAATGAAAAAATATGATGTACACCACATATGTGCCAAAATATAGCTCTCGTTAGGGTCATGAGAAGTCTGAAACCATAGAGGCACAGAGTCGGACGTAGTGAGGTTCATTTCCTGTAACATCTTTGAAAATGGATATACTGTTTATACTCCTATTTAACTGTCTAAATGAGGTCAAAACGTGGTTATCACGCAACTCTCTCACACTGAACGAGGATAAGACAGAAGTTATAGTTTTTGATAGTCACGCCCCGCTGGAACAACTGATGCCTTAAGCCCCTTTGCTAGCCATCTCTCGCTCACTGTTAGAAACCTTGGTGTTTTCCTGGACAGCTCTTTCAAACTCAAGAAACAGCTCTCCTCTGTGGTAAAAAAACCAGTTTCTACCAGCTGCGTCAGATATCTATCTTTGAAGGACCTTGAAAAGCTTATCACTTCCAAATTAGACTACTGTAATTCCCTCTACTCGGGCCATCCGTCTTCCTCTATTCACCGGCTCCAGTTAGTTCAAAACGCAGCTGCGTGTCTCTTAACTGGTATTAGAAATTATGCCAACATTACACCTGTTTTAGCCAACCTATATTGGCTCCCTTTTGAAAATCATATCAATTTCAAAATTATCTTGCTTACCTTTAAAATTTTAAACAATTTGGCTCCCAGCTATCTATGCGAACTCCTCCATTTGTATATCCCTAATAAGGCACTTAGATCTTCCAATCAAATGCTCCTGACACAACAGAGGTCTCGTCTGAAGTCCAGAGGTGATCGGGCCTTTGCTGTTGTAGCACCTAGACTCTGGAATAACCTCCCTCCTTATATTCATTCCTCTGAGTCCATCCAGTCTTTTAAATTGCGTCTTAAAACTTATTATTTTAGTCTGGCTTTTGATTTAAACTAATATGTTATTTTGTGGCTAGTTATGTTTTTTTTCCTTTTTTTTTTCTTTTTTTTTCTTGCCTTCTTTTTACTTTTTTTTTTTTTTTTGTGTTATTGTTTTGCTCTGCTGTGCTGTGCTTTGGTTTGGTTTGTTTTGTTGTTTTGTTCTGTGGTATTGAATTTTGTTTTGATTTGATTTGATATACACCGCAGGTAAAATAAGTATCGAACACGTCACCAATTTTCTAAGTAAATGTATTTCTAAAGGTGCTATTGACATTAAATTCCCACCAGATGTTGGTATCAACCCATCCAGTCCACACATGCAAAAAAATCAAGCCACAGATGTCCTTGACACAGGGACAAAGTACTGAACACACTTACTGAAATGTAATAATTTGTATAAAAGCCTTTGCTGGTGATGGCAGCTTCACATGCCTCCTATATGGAGAAACTAGTTGGATCAACCTTGGAGCTTCTGTGGGTCCCTTCCATGATCTCTATTTTTAATAGATTTTCACTTGGATTCAGGTCAGGTGATTTAATGGGCCATTCTAGCAGCTTTTCTTTTCTCTTTAACAGTCCAAGTTTCCTTTGCGGTGTGTTTGGGATCATTGTCTTGCTGAAATGTCCACCCTTGTTTCATCTTCGTCATCATCATAGATGGCAGGAGTTATATGAAGCATGCCAGTGTCGTAGGGTGAAAAACAGCCCCGGAGCGTGATGTTCCCACCTCCAAACTTCACTGCTGGTATGGCAGACATGGCATCCAAAAAGTTTAATTACGTCTAATCTGAGCAGACTATATTCTCCCAGTATTTCACAGGCTTCTCTAAATGTTTTTCAGCAAACTTTAAACACACTTCAATGTATTTTTTCTTCAGCAATGGAGTCTTGTGTGGTGAGTGTGCATACAGGCCATGGCAGTTGAGTGCAGTACTGTTTTCTTTGAGTTGCCTGCTGATTGCAGGTCTTTCCATAGTTCTCCACAAGTGGTCCCTGGCACTTGATTATTCTTTTCACTCCTGCCAGAAATCTTCCCACTTCCAGATTAGAGCCCCAACAGTGCTCAGTGCAACCTTCAGTAGTTTAGAAATTTCTGTAATCAGTGCCATCAGTATATTTTGAAACAGGAAGGTTTTGTGAGAGATCTCATCATGAGATATTTGACAACTTGGTAATGAAACATTTTTATGAGCCATCAGCTGGGACTGAACCAGCTGGTATTAAAGCCGCAGGGTTGCTTTCTAATTACTGATAGATTGTGCCTACCTTTCTTCGTGTGTTCAATACTTTTCCCCGCATTATTTACATATATTACACATAATTTATGGCCACCTATGGGTAAATTTCTTGGCATGTGTGGACTGGATTGGTTGTTACTGACATCTGGTGAGAATTTCATGTCAATAACAACTTTAAAAATATATTTATTAGGCCACAGTTTTGGATGTAAAAGGCATTATATATTTACCCACTGTCTGTGTGTGCATAGACATAGATTCATCAGATACTTCATTAGATACACTTTGTTAGTCCCAGGTTAGAGCCCCTTTGGTCTTCAGAGCAGCTTTAATTTTTCATGGCATAGAAGGTGCTGGAAACATTCCTCCAAGATTTTGGTTCATTTTGACATGATGGCATCACAGTAGCTGCAGATTTCTCTGCTCCACATCCTGTTGCACCCCAACTAAAGGTGCTTTATTGGATTGACATCTAGCGACCGCAGAAGCCACCTGAATACAGTGAAGCCACCTGATTTTCATGTTCAAGAAACCAGTTTCAGATGATCTGAGCTTTTTTTGCAACATAGTGTACTATACTCCCGGAAACAGCCATTGAAACATGAGTACAATGTGGTCACAAAGGGATGCAGATGGTCAGCAACATTACTTAGGTAGACCGTGGTGTTTAAATCATGCTTTGCCCAAATGTGCCTAAAAAATCTTGATACAAGGCAAGATTTAACAGTGGCCTCAGTTTCCTGTAGTTAGCTGACAGGAGTGACACCTGGTGTGATCTGCTGCTGTAGCCTGTCTGCATCAGGGAGTAAATCAGGGATTCTCTTCTACATAAATGAGTGCTTACTTCAGTTACTGTTGCCTTCCTTTCAGCTTGAAGCAGCCTGGCTATTCTCCTCTGATCTCTGACCACTCGAGGAACTGATGCTTCCTGGATATTTATTGTTTTTGGCTGATACTCTTTAAACCCTAGAGATGGTTTTGTGGAAAACTCTCAGTAGATCAGCACTTTATAAAATATTCAGACCAGCCCGCCTGTCACCAACAACCGTTCACCAACACCTTTCTTCCTTATTCTGATGCTCAATTTGAACTTCAGCAGGTCCTCTGGACCGTTGGACCATGTCTACACACCTAAATGTACTGAGCAGGTACTGTGTGATTGGCTGAATAGATCTGCATTTCCAGCAGTGGAATAGGTGTAACCTAACAAAACAAAACAAAACATGTAGGTAACTACAGCCTAATTGTAACTGTTATGTCAAAAATCACATTTGATATTTGACATAACAGAAAAGTTTATCAGTTTATCAGGATACAATAAATGCTATAAATTGAATAAATACATAAAAAATAATACAACTTACCAGTAGATATTAAAAAAATAAATAAACAAACGCCCGTCTTTTCTGAAAAAGAAGGGGAAAGCAAAAAGACTACAACTCCCGTCACGTGATTTAAAAATCCCGGAACTACAATGCCTGGTGACGGGATGTTTTAAGTGGGCTACACGGATGGTCGACAGCCGAGGTGTGAAAGCTGTAAAGCGTGCACTTTCTTTTATCGTTTCCAGCTTCGTGCTATCGAAATTTAAAACTTTAAATTCGTTGCTGTGGGTTTTGTGGCGCCAGCGGCGGCGTTATTTTGAATTCATGGACAAAGACAAGTGTAGCGATATTGTAAGTAAGCGAGTCTGTTGTTTGCTTTAGCTAAAACGTCACGTTTTCAGCCTATTTTGAGAGCAGCCAGTAGCTCACACGAGCCAGCTAACTGGACTGTGTGGAGTCTCTGTTCACTCACCACATGCAGCCTCTGCACTCATGCTTTGTGTACCTTTTGCAGCATGGTCAGTGCTCCTGGATGGAGATGCATCAGTTCCTCGGTGACCTTATCACATCTGGAAACTCCTCAAAAAATCCGCCAGATGTGCTTAATGCAGCATGGGGCGTGGCAGGAGGTGGTGCTGCTGATGGTGCTCTTGCGTTCAAAGCTACATCGCTTGAGCCACTTAGACCTGTTCAGGAAAAGATGGGTGCAGGGGCATCACAGAGGGCGAGAGAGACCAGAGACCGGAGAGAAGGTAGGAGCCGTGTAAATAAACAAGTCCACCTATTTTCTTGTAAATTTAATTTTCCTACTGATGTGGTTCGGTTTGTCCTTCAGCTTTAGATCTGCATCATGCCTGCACCTGCCCTGGCTGCCCTTTCTCCGGTCCCCCTCCTTCATTTGAGACCCTAACATCCAGACAGCCTCTGTCCTTGCCGCCACACTCAGAGACCATATCCCACCCAAAAGATCTCAGTATTGCTGGTCCAGTGAGCCTTAGCATGTGTTTACCAGAGTCCACCTTACCCAGCAGCACCACCACCACTACATCTGAGCTAGAGACGGGCCTGCCCAGCCGATCACAGAACGAGGATGTAGACAGAGGGACTCAGAGCCAGAACCAAAACTCTGATGTGCCTCCTTCAAGAGCGTCTTTGTCCCATCTTTCTATGTTTCCCCACTTGTGTTGTCACCCCAGCCTGCAAACCTGTACCCAGACACTAGGCCGCCAGGAGGGCACAGACTCCCCGTTTTCTCACACCCACGCTCACCATCACTTTCACCACCACCACTGCCCTTTAACGTCCTGTTTACCCTGCCCCCAGCTCGCCCACTCGCACTCTGCTCGGCTCTCTGGCGCGTTTCCATGCTTGTCTTGCCCTCACTCCTTTCATGCCTGTAATCAGGTGTGCCACCGCCAGCACAGGCAAGCACAGCAGCAGGAGGAGAGGGTTAGGACTTCTTCAACCTTGCTGTCGTCACTGCATCTCTGCATGCACTGCTCCGCCTCATTTTCTAGACCGTCCCAGCTGCTACAACACCAGCGCTCCGAGCACGCTCACAAACCAGCCGGGTTCATTTGCACAGAGTGCGGCAGGGCCTTCAATTCACACAGCAACCTCCGCATACACCTCAATGTGCACACTGGTGCACGGCCCTACTCGTGCTCCGACTGTGGGAAAAGTTTCAGCCAGTCTGGAGCGCTGAAGATCCACAGGCGGATTCACACGGGTGAAAAGCCATATTCATGTGGCTTCTGTGGCAGAGGTTTCCCCCATCTGGCAGGGGTGCGTGCCCACCAGAGGACGCACACAGGAGAGAAGCCCTACCGCTGCAACCAGTGTGGCAAGTGTTTCACCCAGTCCGGAGCGCTAAAGATCCACACTCGCATCCACACTGGAGAGAGACCCTTTATCTGCAGCATCTGTGGCAAGGGCTTCTCCAACCGCTCCGGGATCCGTTTCCACTACCGCACAGTCCACGGGCTGGCTCCTGAGGTCACAGGGGAGACTGGAGGCGTGTACCGAGGACCCACAGGTCGTGCTTGTCAGCCCGGGCGCCCCAGAACTACACCTCCAACCGGCGCTGCGTTAAATGCACCCAACAGTCCAGGTATCGACTCACACGGAGTTCTGAATACTCGGGATTCCTCAGATTTAATTGCTTCTCATCCCGCCTCTACACCGATCAGTGGGAACGAGGGCAAATCTCAGCCAGAAGGAGCAAGAGAGGGGCTGCCGTATGCATGCGAAGACTGTGGCCTGCGCTTTAAAGACGCACTGTCCAGGAACAGACACCAGTCTCTGGTGCATTACTCCCACGAGGGAAGAGAGGAGGAGGGGCAGAGGGAAGAGTTCAGCACAGATGCTGAAAGTGAAAGAGAGTAAATTACTGCGGCTGGAAGATTATAACAGACTGAACATCTTATGGAATCTGTTCTTTAAGCAAAACTGCTTTCAAATTGGAAATTCAGTAATATTGCACTCCTTTTTAAGTGTTTTTCTGATATTTCACACTAAAATTGTGCTGAAAGTCAACGCTAAACCTTTTCTATTTAAACACTTTTAGAATTCATGTATTTTTTTTTTCTATTCTCCATCAGCTTTTCAGTCCTGATGCATGTGAGTGAAGTGTCGTGTATGTACAGATTTACCCCATTTTAGCAGTCCTTTATATATCCAGGTAAAAAAAAAAAAAAAATTTCCAAGAGAGCCTGATGTCCATCCATCACACACACCAAACCAACTGGTTGCTAACACGTCTGTGTAATTGTGCCTTATCCAGCAGTGGAAGAGGTGTAGTCCCAGTGTTGTATTATGATACCAGAAAGCATGTCACATTAATGCAATTTGATGGGCTTTTAGTAGCATTTTATTATGGGATTGAGGACTGCCACCTGGCTCTTTTTATACAAAATGCCTTGAAATAGGAATGAAATAGGAACAAGTACAATTGTATATGTTAAACATGGATCTGTAGTAAACATCAGTGTCACAGGTTTAATTAAGTTATTTAGTAACTTAATCATTTATAAAATCACATGTATTCTATACAAAAAACAACTTTCCATGGGATATAATATAAAGTAAAAAAAACAAATACAAGTATACAAATATAACTATTATAATTTTTCACTTAATTCTGTAATTCTGAGAAAGGTGCTATACAGCAGCAAAGGCCTAACAAACAAGGCCAGTGAAGGTGTTTTTTTAAAAAAAATGTTAACACTTTGCGATAACTCGGCCTCCAGCAGAGGAACGTACTCTTCCTCTGGAAACTTGTTTAACTAGACAGAATTTCTTTCTCCAGGAAAAGTGGCTGAAAGGGCTGTTCATCCAAGCAAAGGACAGTCCTTCCTAATTATGTCATCTTATTGCCTTTCGTGCCTCTGAGTTGTACTACAATCCAAGCAGTTATTTTTAGCTGTTGGTATGTTACCGGGTGATAATTATCTGCACAGACAAATAATAACACAGTCCATTGTTGCTTAACGTCTGAAGCTCGTGGCAGCCACCTAGTGGTTATGTGTAATTATAACAGTACTCTTTGTTACAGGTTACAATTTATAGTGCTTCATAAATGTTTTTGAAATGATACATTGTGAATACAATGCTTTGTAACATATTCATTTTTTTTTTTTTTGCCTTAATTTGTGGAGAATACTACACATACATTTCTGTATGTGCTTTTGGAAAGTGCAGTTATGTGATTAAACATTTCATCAAACAGTATCTCTGAGACAAACTGAGCCTGTATTTATTTGTGCAATATGAAGAAAAAAAAACTATCCCATACTTCCTTGATGGAAATTTCTGCCTCCACGTGGCTCTCAGTGTTTAGTCTGAATACCCTCATATGCATAGTGACTTCCTTGGGTACATCACTCACGGGAGGTCCAGTTAGTGCATTCTGAACAGCACTGTCCAGCTCACTGTTCAACTTCAGACCACTCCAAGTGTTGCTCTGGTGCCAACACACATTTCAACTCCAAAGAGCCTTTTCCTGAGTCTAAGTTTGCTGTGCTCACAAAGGATCTTCGTATGTGTGTTTCTGTTGTAAAGAATCACAAGACTTGGGTTCTGCATAGACAGCACTGACTGGTCTTGGTCCATTGGCATGTAGCGCGGGAGTGCAGTAGCCATTGAAGAGCACCCTGTGTGAGGGGCAGTCATACTGACTGTGGCTGGATGTCGGTGCAGGAATGATGCTGGAGTCAGAGGGCTGATCTGAGAACGGAGTGGCATACTCAGGCTCTGGAGGAAGTGGCTCTGCATACTCGGGCAGGCAGCCAGGAGTATCATAATGGCTGCAGGTGAAGGGGGTAGTATAACACTCTTCTGAGGAAGGTTTAAACGTTGAGCCAACTTTATGTCCAATAGGTGTAAGAGCTGGCTCAGCATAGTCTAGGAGGATTAGAGAAGAAAAGAGAAAATGTAAATGTAAGAAAAGTCATACAAGATTTTTTTTTTCCTGGTCACCTGACATACAGCAAACCTTCGTGAGATCAGAGGTCAAACGTGTCATGATATTTGGATCTAGTATCTCCATATGCCGGTATATCATTTCCTAATTGTTGCCAATAAGAACAAAAGCAGCAGAATTTTAAGCACAGTCTTAAAGATCGACCTTTTATGAAATTTAATTACTATGTAAACTTACTTCACCGTAAAGAAGAGGTCAGAGGTCAAATGTGACATGATATTTCAAATCTTTATACAGTACTTTCTACATGCTGACAATACACACCTTACAAGGCTTTTATAAAGAAATAAATCATTAGGTTGACCTTCAAGACCTCAGTGCATGCAAGGTAAATTATAAATGGCTTGTTAACATGACCCCCTGCATTTCGAGCTGTGGTGTTTACAGTAGGGCTGCCACAAACGATTATTTTGATTTGATACATTTGAAAAAAAAAAAAGCCAAACAATAACATTTTTAAGTTACCTAAGTGACTTGTGTTTAACCTGAGTAGCGAAAGAC